GCGGACAAATTACATTTTAGATTTTTGCTTTTTATTTTCTTTCTCGCGTGAATTTTTATTTGCAAACTAAAATCAAACAAATATGTGGAAATCAATATTATTGATTTAGGTCAATTAACGTTTTTTGAATCGTCAATTATTTGTTTGTTTCTAAAAATAAAGTTCGAAACAGGCCGCGTTGGAGAAATGCAATAATACTCGATAATTGAATTACAATTTCCGGGTGAATGCTTGCTTCGATAAGACACATCGCAAACCCGATGCAAATACAGGCTTTTTAATAAGCTCACAACAGGCCTACGGCGAACGATAGTTAACGACGAAAGCGGGTCATGTCTGTTCGTTTGAGCGCGAGCTACTCCACTTAAGGCACTTTACTCAGTACTTTTCCTTAGGATCAAGGAAATGAGGCCCTACCATACTATATATATATATAGTATCATAATTCCCTTACAAACAAGCTTCCGATTTACCTTGTTTTATATTCCGTGTTTCATCTCGTGGGCGCAACCAAAGGTATCTCGGAAAGGCCTTGTTTAACGAGCTAAGGGTTGACAGTGCACTTTACAAGTGACGTCAGATTTTAAATGCAGGCAAGAGCAGAGAAAACAGAGCCGTTGCTGCGCTTTACAGGCTACGATATGCAAAATGAAAGGCTTTTGTGTAACACGACGGTTGTAGACGAGCGATCAAGCTTTAATTCGCGATCCTTAAGCACGTTTCGACCTTGCATCTGTCGGTCTTATTTTCCTCTTACTTATAACAACACTGTTCGCGTTAACGGAACGCGCAGTGTAGAATAATTTTGTATAAAAAAAAAAAAAAAAAACAAATTCAACGAATATCGCTAAGTATAGAAACCGAAGAGGTTTTTTTTTTGAAAAAGAAAAATATTTGCTTTTAATCAACCACGTATTTATCTATAGCTCGAGAACACACGGATTAAATGATCAAACTTTACACTTTTTGGTTTTATTGTTTGTTCTTGTTTTCTCTTCACAATAGATTGAAAAAAGTAAGTAGCAATTTTTTTTTTTTTTTCCACTAGACGAGTAGGCGTGAGATGCTGAACTGCGCAAAGTTTTATGAAAATATTTATCAGCAAAGTTTTAAGACGTTGCAATTTCGCGCGCACAGAACTGGAAAAAATTCAATTTTACCTCTCCAAAAAAATCTCGCTGACGCAAAGAGAGGCAGAGAGTATATTTACCAAGTCATATTTTCATTCATAAATTATTCATACATGCATTGCACACATACATACATCTTTTCAGCGCATACATTAACGATGACTGTGATCGTTCGTTCTCTTTTTTTTTTTTTTTTTTCATTTGAGAAACTGCGTTAACCGAGTTTCTCGTCGCGACAAACACGCATACACATCGTCAATTAATATCAATTTGATTTGACCAAAGTTTGTCAAAAAAATATTTGTGAAAAACGTGTGTTTGTTAAAATTCTGAAATAAAATATATTTATTAAAATTAAAAAAACATATTTACTGAGAGATATATTTTTTTTAAATATTTATCAACAAAGTTTATCAACAGAAAATTTATCAAAATTTGAACTTCAAAAAAAAAAGGTTAAAAATCTATTTTTAACTAGATACATTGAAGCTATTAAAACATCCCTGTGTTATTTAGCACGGTTGAAGCATGTTTGCGATTGGATGAATGTACTTTATCTCGATTGGAGTACGCCTATAAGTGATTTCAATCACATACGTATACACACACACACACATACACACATACTCACTCACTCACTCACACAAAGTAATTTCCTGAGAAATATAGTACGAGAAAAATGTTTCGCATTTCCCTCGCGCGCGATCGTGTTGCACGTCGCATCCACCGTTTCCGAGCTGAAAGCATCTTAGCGTAGACTAAGCGCAATCTATTTTCGAACGTACGTCCCAGTTGAGCGCGGTTGAAACGCTTGCGTGCGGCCAGCGAACACATGTTTCGTACTCAGAATGTGACGCGACATAATTACTGTGGTTTGCCGGATTGCCAGAGCGCGGTCGAGGGACGACAGTTGTGTAATTCAGAATGGAACACAAAACACGCGGGGCAAAAAACATTGCGCGGCAAAAACAATGCGTTTTCTCATCGACTTTTTTCCTCTCTCGTGTATCTTATCGGAGAACTCTACCTTCTTGCTTGAACTATAAGTTCTCCTGCATTGAACATGCGTCTCATTAACTAGATGTATTTCTGGACCGCAAGAGACTTCAGCTATACGAGAGATGCAAAAAAATGCAACATGTTTGATAAATTGAGCATGAAATATTATAAATTTATAATCCACATGCCACAAGCTTTGTAATAGGCCGAACAAAGAGAGAGAGAGAGAGAGAGAGAGAAAGAGGAACGACGCTTTCAAGAAGCCGAGAGACCAAGTTTCTAGACCAAAAGAATCACTTTAAGATCAACGTTATTTTTTCTCCGTGCTATTTTCATAAAATAAGGCAAACTTTTAAACTCTCTTGCATATTGTTACATAAAACTTGGAAAGAGAGAGAGAGAGACCGTTCTTCTTCTTAAAACATATCATTTGTTAAGTTTTATGTACTTTCTACTTTCGCGTACACAAAGTATAACAAAAAAAACGCAAGTTTTGTAAGAACGCATATATATATATATGTATATTGTATATATATATTGTATATATATATATATATAT